AAGGTGGAAACAAATGTTGGAAAACAGCTAGCAGATTCTGTCACAGTGCCCCAAATAATACTTCAAGTCCATTCTCTTTCCTTATCTTCCATCTTTCCAACAACTTACTTATATGGTCCACCATCACCTGAAATTTAATATTTTTAAGACTAAACTTGTCTTCCCCCTTTGACTTCCTTCCATCATAAACTTTATGAGTTTTCCAACAACATAAAGTAGAAACTCAAAATATATTGTTGAACAATTGAGTTCTAGTAGATGCCTCTTCATTTCTTGCCTTTCTTTGTGTTATCTGTCAAATCCAGCCCTTCCTTTCCATTCCCATTATTGTTTCCTGGTTCATGTCCAGAAGACTACGGTAGCCCTGAAATAGCCTCTCTGATCCAGCCTCTATTTCCTGTTTTTCTCCCCACACATCATTACTGCATTACAGTGACTAAAACATTATTTTAGTCTTCGCCATCAAAAACCTTAATAGCTCCCCTCTCCCTATGACGGAGACCTCAAACTCACGGCTGTCACAAATCTAAACCTAGTTTGTGTCTTCCGCTGTATCTCTCTCCACTCTGTTATGGAAATCCATATTCATCCAACTAACATCATAGGTTCTGCTTCTAAACTTTTATTCAGGATCTGAGGACCTGAGACACCCTTCCTTTCCCTTTCCATCCAGTAGAGTTCTATTCACCTTTCAAAATCCTCCTCAATTCTACATTCTTTGAGATAGTTTTCCGAACCACTACAGCTCGGTGATCCTTCCCTTCCTAGAATTTCTACTGTAATCACTGTTTCTACCATTCATTTGAATGTATTATTCACTACCTCATATTGCAAAGGACAATTTCGAGTGTGTGTGTGTGTGTGTGTGTCTGTCTGTCTTATTTCCCTAATTGGGTATCAAATTCCCCCAAAAAGGCAGAGAATCTGTCTTTGTCACAGACTAGCATAGTGCATTTCGTGTTAAGTCCTCAAGATGTTTTTATGCCACAAGTTATCTCTAAAATTAGATTTTACTAAGGTCACTTCCAGTGGTAATATAATATTAGAGTCCCTTTAGCATCTAGAAACATAAATATTGGAATTGATTGATATGGAGATTCTTTCTTTTAAATCTTAAAGTCTTTTAAGAGCAGAATAAAGTCTATCCAGGGTACCTAAAACTGTCCCTCCAGTCTTTACTTGAATTAGCCCTAAAAAATGGCTCCTGATGCATGCTCCAGTATGGCCCTGGCATCACCAAGGCATCATAAGGATGGCCTAGGGTAGCCCCAAAGGGCTTGTACCAACTGTTAAGGTGATGATAAAGAAGGTATGATGAATGTTATCATTACAAACTCCAGAAATAACTTTTATTTTGCCTTGATGATCAACAAAGTACTTCTACTCACATTACATCATTTGCTGCTCACCAAATAGGGCAAGTGCCTTAGTTACTACTTTCATTCTATGGATGAAGAAACTGAGGCTCGTATTATGTCATTTCCTGAATAATCAGAAAGGTTTTGTGACCTGGCCAGGCGAGGTGGCTCGTGCCTGTAATCCCAGCATTTTGGGAGGCTGAGGCGGGCAGATCATTTGAGGTCAGGAGTTCGAGATAAGCCTGGCCAACATGGTGAAACTCCATCTCTACTAAAAATAGAAAACTTAGCTGGGCGTAACGGCATGCACCTGTAATCCCAGATACTCGGGAGGCTGAGGCAGGAGAATCGCCTGAACCCAGGAGGTGGAGGTTGCAGTGAGCTGAGATCACTCCACTGCACTCCAGCCTGGACGACAGTGAGAGAGTGAGACAGTGAGACTTCATCTTTAAAAAAAAAAAAGAAAAGAAAGGTTTTGTGACCATGTTAAGATTGTGCAGCTCATAAACAGAAGTACTTGCACCTACGCCTTCTGCCTCCCTGTCTTTCCACAGCAGGCAATAGTTTTGCAGCTGCTTCTCTCAGAGCACAGTTGGAGTGTTTGAAGGTGGCAGAATCTTCATCTTCAACGTGTGCAACCCCTTTGCCTTTTCCAGCAAGCAAAGTTTTCTTGCCAATTACACCAGCCGCACATATAACAGCTTCCCCCAGCTTTGCCTACCCACCACTTCCATCGCCTGATTGCCCTTAAATACTCCAGCAACACTTCCTGAATGACTTGCTACAGGAGATGAGACATACTTTTAAAACTGCACCACACTCCAACCACCGTGGCTGCTCAACTGCCCTAACGTCTCAGCCTAAACAATCTACCTACCTACTTCCTGGGGTTTAGTGAGAGAATCCACCAAAATTATGAGTCTGTGGAATCTATGTTCTGTCTATCTCCTCACACCTAATCTCAATCCACAGAGCGAAGTGGCAAGCAATTAAGCACGAGGGCCTGACTTCAAAAAAGAATCGAGACATGGGAGATCTGGGACCAGGGCTGGCTAGATCCTTTGCAAGGCCCAGTGCAAAATGAAAATGGAGGGCCCTTGTTTAAATACCATGTGGAATTTCAAGGTAGCGATGCAGCGTTAAGTCCAGTTCAGCATCCTTTTGAGCTCAGGGTTCTGTGCAGCTGAATAGATCGCATGCCCCTGCCTGGAACATCCAGAGATTCAGGCTGGGACACTCCAAACACCTCTCTCCTAGAACTCATCAGCCCAGTAAAACCGTTTATCTGGGGAGAATTAATGTTCTTGAATTTTGGCAAACTGTGACTCCTACCACCAAAGGTAGCATTAGCCTCTTTCTGACCCACCGCCCCCCGCAATGGTTTATTTCTAGTGCTCTTACCATTTCGTACTCATAGTGTTGTATTATCTTTCATTTGTGTCCACATCTGTCTTATTTCTGGGCTGTGAACTCCTATGGCTGCAGGGATGTTCTGTTCATCCATGCGTCCCTAACACAGCATCTGACACACAATTAGCACTTAGCAAATGTTTGCAGATAAGGGTTCCCAATTATCCGCTAACTACTCCCACCGCACATACTCCCTGCCCTTCCCTGTTACATCTTCTGTACTTAACCAGCCCCAGCTATTCCTAAGGTCTTGTCCTGGACTTTACTCCTAAGGAAAAAAATCTCTGTTGGTCAGAAAGGAAAGAGGTTTACATAACCTGTCTCGGGGCTTTTTCAGTGGTTGCTGAGCTGAAGAGTAGGGGCGACCTTAGTGAGACAGCCCCATTAGCTTAAGAAATCTGGCCGGGCGCGGTGGCTCTCGCCTGTAATCCCAGCACTTTGGGAGGCCGAGGAGGGTGGATCACGAGGTCAAGAAATCGAGACCATCCTGGTCAACATGGTGAAACCTCGTCTCTACTAAAAATACAAAAAATTAGCTGGGCGTGGTGGCACGTGCCTGTAATCCCAGCTACTCAGGAGGCTGAGGCAGGAGAATTGCCTGAACCCAGGAGGCGGAGGTTGCAGTGAGCTGAGATGGCGCCATTGCACTCCGGCCTGTGTAACAAGGGCGAAACTCCGACTCAATTAAAAAAAAAAAAAAGAAATCCCTTTATTTTTGTGCCAATTTAAGGTGACTCGTATACTTTATGATCCTTATTCTTCCATATATCAAGACTTGAATAAACATTAGGGTCAGCCTGAACCAACTTATGTGGAAAACTGATGCCATGGTCATCACAGCCTACGTGCAGCCAGACACACCAGCACCGCCCAACTAATTTGTTTATGGCTAACGCCATTTCCGATTGGTCAGGGTCCATGTCATACTGGTTATTAAATATACTGAATATCATCCATGCTTGCCCCAAACACTGTTTCTCACTGAGGAGCACTCATTGAGAATTGCATGATAATGAAGAAGAGGATGAGAAAGAGCAGAAAAATAATGTCTTGTAATTATATTGTCTCTCATTTTACAAACTACATATTAAATGAGTTTATTTTCAAAAGTGATAGAGGAGAAAAAGGGAAGAGAAAATAAGCTTTTCATCTTCCCATGTTACATTTTAAAAGTATTGATCCTTCAGCTTTCACTAGGAAATGTTCCCTGGATTCCCAGAACAGATCAAGTCCTCTTGCTGATCTCTGAACTCACCATAATACTTAGATATTTTTTGTCTATACATTTTTTTGTATGATTACCTGATCAACATTGGTATCTTTCTCTGACTGCAAGTTCCAAAGAGCAAGAATTACAGCTGCTGCTTCTCACCGTTGTATCCCCAGCTCCTTGTATGTTGTTTAAAAGAGTAGATGTCCAACAAACACTTATATTGTAAATTAACTTAATAAATACCCACCATAGTATCTGGAACAAAACTGATCTTGAATAAATACATGCGTTCATTCACAAAGGTATGAATGAATAAACGAACTTTGCTTGCTTCAGAAGTTGTTCCAAGGGAGTCTAGAAAACACACGAGTAAATTTTATCAATTAATTCCACAAATATTTATTAAGCACTTTCTATGTGTCAGGCACTCTTCTAGAGACTAGGAATATAAAAGTAAACAGAAAAAGATCCCCCAAAATCACCAACTTGGGGAATATTTTCTCCAGAGCCTCCAAAGCACTCTCTGCCTGAAGATACATCTTCAGGAAAAGAGACAAAACTGTTACTTGCTTTTTGCAGAGATCACAGGAAAATAAAAAGCAATGACCCAAGAGTCCGTCAGATGTGATACTCCAGGTTCTTGTTCTAGCTCTTCCAGCACTTGGCAATATGATCTTGGGAAAGGAATGCACCTAATATCTTAGACTTCATGGAGGCTTATGGCCTTCACCTCTCAAATGCCTTCTAGTTTTCAGTCTATAAGTCTTGGTAAAAATATTTTTAATAAAATGGATCTCTAATGAGAAACCTAGTTTTTGAATGAGAATGCTTTAGAAAATGTAGTTGTCATAACATACTAAATACGCCTAGAGTAGAATGCCAGAAAAGGGGGGTCATCCTCAAGAAACTGGATGAACTGCATTTGTGGCAACACCTCAGGGAGCTCCAAGGCTAGAAAGATTAGGAACCGTAAAAGAGGCAACAGTCAGATGGCTACAGTTTACTTTTTGCGTTCTCAGGGCCAGAAGCCGCTGGAGAAGACTCAGAAATCTTCACGGTGATTGGGATTCTGGGAGAATCAGTCACTTTCCCTGTAAATATCCAAGAACCACAGCAAGTTAAAATCATTGCTTGGACTTCTGAAACATCTGTTGCTGTTGTGAAACCAGGAGACTCAGAAATAGCACCCACAGTCACTGTGACCCACAGAAATTATTATGATCGGATACATGTCTTAGATCCAAGCTGCAACCTGATCATTAGCGATCTGAGGATGGAAGATGCAGGAGACTACAAAGCAGATATAAATACAGAGACTGCTCCCTACACCATCACCAAGCACTACAACCTGCAAGTCTATCGTAAGTCATGGGAAGACGGAGGGCTTGTGTTTTATTTATACTTTGCAAATTTACTATCTGAAGCACATCTACGTTTCTGATAATTGGGTCCCCTAAATTTTTTCATACCTATTAATACTTATCTATTAATATATCAATATTTGTGAAAGGATGTAGTCTTACCTCAGTCCTGGCTTTGCCAGTGTTTAGCTATGTAATCTTCCATCAGCAGTTGGTCCCCTGGGCCTTGATTTTCTTTTTTGCATGCTGTTAGTGATCATACTACTCACTTCCCAGAGTTATCATGAGGATCAAGTGAGACAGCATATGCAAAGTGCTTTAAAAAAAACTTTGTATTTTGAGATAATGATAGATGCAAAGAAGGTACAAATAAATATACAGGGAGGTTCTGTGTACCCTTCACCCTGTGTTAACACCTTGCATAACTACAGCACGATATCAAAAACAGGAAATTGACATTAGCACAATCTATAGAGCTATTTTGGTTTCACCACTTAGGCATGCATTCATTTATGTGTGAGCATGCGTGTACCTCTGTATGATTTAATCACATGGGCAGTTTGTGTGACCACCACCATAACCAAGATTAACCATCACAAGATTCCCTCATGCTCTCCCTTTATGGCCACACCTCCGTCGTTCCCTTCCTCAATCCCTGAAAAACACTACTTTGTTCCTATCTACAACTATGTTATTTCACAAATGTTATGTAGATGGAATGAGGATTTACCTTTTTGAGGTCGGGTGGTTTTCGTTTAGCGTGATGTCACTGAGATTCACCCAAACTCTTGTGCGTATGAATAGTTTATGCCTTTTTATTGTGAGATAGTATTCCATGGTATGGATACACTAGTTTGTTCAGCCATTCACCTCTTGAGGAACATTTCCAGTTTGGGGCTATTACAAATAAAAATGCTATGAATATATGTGTACACATTTCTGCATGAAATAAGTTTTTATTTCTCTGGGATAAATGCTCAAGAATATAATCATATGATAAATCCGTTTACAGTTTTAAAAGAAATGGGCAAACTATTTTCAATTTGCCATTCTCCCAGGAATGTATGAGTGATGTAGTTTCTTTACATCCTCACTAGCATTTGGTGTTATTACTCTTTATTTTGGCCATTCTGATGGGTGTGCAGTGGTAACTCCGTTTGGTTTTAATTTGCATTTCTCTAGTAGCTGATGCAAAGTGCTTTTGAAAGGTAAAATACGAGAACTATTTGTTATCGTCATTGTAATTGCCACCGTTCACTAGGAGATATGAGTGCTTTGTTGTGCAAACTATCCCAAGTGTGGTCTGTGGACTGGCCGCATCAGCATCAACTGGGAGCTTTTTGGAAATGCAAATGTTCAGGTCCTGCCCCTGACCTTCGTGAATGAATGAAGTCCAGGAATCTGTGTTTAGTATTGTCTCTGGATTATTCCCATCTGTGCCAAAGTTTGAGAAGCACAGATGTAGAGATATCCCATTCGGTATGGTAGCCTCTAGCCATATGCAGCTCTTGAGCATCTGAAATGTGGTGAGTTCAAATTGTGATGTGCTGTAGGTGTAAAATTCATACCGGATCTTGAAATCTTAGCACCCAAAAAAGAATATAAAATATCTCAATTGTTTTCTTGTTTTTCTTTAATTTTTAAGTTCAGGGATACATGTGCAGGATGGGAAGGTTTGTTACGTTGGTAAACATGTGCCGTGGTGGTTTGCTGCACCGATCATCCCATCACCTAGGTATTAAGACCAACATCCATTAGCTAGCCTTCCTGATCCTCTCTCTCCCCCAGCCCCTCTACAACAGGCCCCAGTGTGTGTTGTGCCCCTCCATGTGTCCATGTGTTCTCATCATTCACGTCCCACCTATAAATGAGACATGCGGTGTTTGGTTTTCTGTTCCTGCATTAGTTTGCTGAGGATGATGGCTTCCAACTCCATCCAAGTCCCTGAAAAGGACATAATCTTGTTCCTTTTTATGGCTGCATAGTATTCCATGGTGTATATATACCACATTTTCTTTACCCAATCTATCATTGATGGGCATTTGGATTGATTCCATGTCTTAGCTATTGTGAATAGTGCTGCAATGAACATATATGTGCATGTATCTTTATAATACAATGATTTATATTCTTTTGAGTATATATCCAATCATGGGTTTGCTCTAACAAATGGTATTTCTGCCTCTAGGTTTCTAAGGAATGACCACACTGTCTTCCATAATGATTGAACTAATTTACACTCCCACCAACACTGTAAAAGCATTTCTTTTTCTCTGCAACCTTGCCAGCATCAGTTATTTCTTGACTTTATTAATAATTGCCATTCTGACTGGCCTGAGATAGTATCTCATAGTGGTTTTGATTTGCATTTCTCTAATCATCAGTGATGTTGAGCTTTTTTTCACTTGTTTGTTGGCTGCATGAATGTCTTCTTTTGGGAAGTGTCTGTTCATGTTTTTTGGCCACTTTTTAATGGGGCTGTTTGTTTTTTTGTTTGTTTGTTTTTTCCTTAAACATTTGTTTAAGTTCCTTGTGGACTCTAGATATTAGATCTTTGTCAGATTGATAGATTGCAAACATTTTCTCCCATTCTGTAGGTCATCTGTCCACTCTGATGATAGTTTCTTTTGCTGTGTAGAAGCTCTTTAGTTTAATCAGATCCCATTTGTCAACTGTTGCTTTTGTTGCAATCGCTTTTGACATTTTCATCATGAAATCTTTGCCCATGCCTCTGTCTTGAATGTATTGCCCAGATTTTCTTATAGGAGTTTTATAGTTTGGGGCTTCATATCTAAATCTTTAATCCACCTTGAGTTAAATTTTGTATAAGGTGTAAGGAAGTGGTCTAGTTTAAATTTTCTGCACATGGCTAGCCAGTTCTCTCTGCACAGTTTATTAAAGAGGGAATCCTTTTCCCACTGTTTTTGTCAGAGTTGTTAAAGGTCAGATAATTGCAGATGTGTGGTCTTACTTTTGAATTCTTGATTCTGTTCCACTGGTCTATGTGTCTGTTTTTGTACCAGTACCCTGCTGTTTTTGTTACTGTAGTCTTGTAGTATAGTTTGAAGTTGGATAGTGTGATGCCTCCAGCTTTATTCTTTTTGCTTAGAACTGTCTTGGCTATTCGGGCTCTTTTTTCATTCCATATAAATTTTAAAGTGTTTTTTTCTAATTCTATGAAGAATGGTAATGGTAGTCTAATAGGAGTAGCATTGAATTTATAAATTAGTTTGGGCAGTATGGCCATTTCACAATATTGATTCTTCCTATTCATGAGCATTGAATGTTTCTTCACTTATTTGTGTCCTCTCTGATTTCTTTGAGCAGTTGTTTGTAGTTGCCCTTGAAGAGGTCGTTTGCTTCCCTTGTTAGCTGTATTCCTAGGTATACCAATCTTTTTGTAGCAGTTGTGAATGGGAGTTCATTCAGATTTGGCTCTCTGCTTATCTGTTGGTGTATAGGAATGCTAGTGATTTTTGCACACTGATTTTGTATCCTGAGGATTGCTGAAATTGCTTAGCAGCTTAAGAAGCTTTTGGCCTGAGTCAATGGGGTGTTCTAAATATAGGATCATGTTTTCTGCGGACAGAGACATTTTGACTTCCTCTCTCCCTATTTGAATACCCTTTATTTCTTTCTCTTGCCTGATTGCTCTTGCCAGAACTTCCAATACTATGTTGAAAAGGAGTGGTGAAAGAGGGCATTGTCTTGTGCTGGTTTTCACAGGGACTGTTTCCTGCTTTTGCCCATTCAGAATGATATTGGGTGTGGGTTTGTCATATAAGGCTCTTAATATTTTGAGGTATGTTCTTTCAATACCTATTTATTGAGAGTGTTTAACATGAAGGGATGTTGAATTTTATCGAAGGCCTTTTCTGCCTCTGTTGAGATACTCTGTGGTTTTTGTCTTTAGTACTATTTATGTGATGAATCACACTTATGGTTGGCATATGTTGAACCAAACTTGCATCCTGGGGATGAAGCCAACTTGATGGTGGTATATAAGCTTTTTGATGTACTGCTGGTTTTGGTTTGCCAGCATTTCATTGAGGATTTTTGCATCAATGTTTATCAAGGATATTGGCCTGAAGTTTCTCTTTTTTTGTTGTTGTATCTCTACCAGGTTTTGGTCTCAGAATGATGCTGGCCTCAGAATGAGTTAGACAGGAGTCCCTCTTTTTCAATAGTTTCAGTAGAAATGATGCCAGCTCTTCTTTAGACCTCTGGTAGAACTCAGCTGTGAATCTCTCTGGTCCTGGGGTTTTTTTTTTTTTAGTTGGTAGGCTATTTATTACTGCCTTAATTTCAGAATTTGTTATTGGTTTGTTCAAAAATTCAACTTCTTCCTGTTTCAGTCTTGGGAGGGTGTATGTGTCCAGGAATTTATCCATTTCTTCTAGATTTTCTACTGTATGTGCATAGAGATATTTACAGTATTTTCTGATGGTTGTTTATATTTCCTTAGGGTCAGTGATGATATTCCCTTTATCACTTTTATTGTTTATTTGATTCTTGTCTCTTTTCTCCTTTATTAGTCTAGCTAGCAGTCTATTTTTTAATTTTTTCAAAAAAACAACTTCTGGATTTGTTGATTTTTGGAAGGATTTTTTGTGTCTCTATCTCCTTCAGTTCACCCCTGATCTTGGCTATTTCTTGTCTTCTGCTAGCTTTGGAGTTTGTTTGCTCTTGGTTCTATAGTGTTTTTAGTTGTGATGTTAGGTCGTTAACTTGAGATGTTTCTAGCTTTTTGATGTGGGCATTTAGTGCCGTTAAGTTTCCCTCTTAACACTCCTTTAGCTGCCTTGCAGATTCTGATACCTCGTCTCTTTGTTCTCATTAGTTTCAAAGAACTTGATTTCTCTCTTAATTTCATTGTTTACCCAAGAGTCATTCAGGACCAGGTTGTTCAATTTCCCTACAGTTGTGTGGTTATGAGTGAATTTCTTAATTTTTAGGTCTAATTTGATTGTACTATGATCTGAGAAACTGTTTTCCTGAAT